AGACTTTTATAAAGAGCACAAACAATACCCCTCTCATGCACAAGACGGTTACTTTAAAGAACATAATAAATACCCCTGTACTGAGTATAATGAATATTATAAGAAGCATGGTAAATATCCCTCTACCAAGGAAGAAGAATATTCCAGCTATAAAGAGTACCATCATATTGCCGTATCTGATTATTATAAGTCTTATCATAAATACCCCACTCACGAGCAAGAAGACTTCTATAAAGAGCACAAATCCTACCCCACTCACGCACAAGATTATTATTATGAATTGCATAAAAAATACCCCTCTAAAGAGTGTGAAGATTTTTATAAGAAACGTGAAAGATACCCCTGTACTGAGGAAGATGAGTATTATAAGGTACATAAAAAATACCCCTCTACCACAGAAGAGGATGATGAGTGCTATAAAGAGTATCATCATATTACCGTGGATGACTATTATAAGAAGTATCATAAATATCCTTCTCACGAAGAAGAAGACTATTATAAAGAGCATAAAGAATACCCCTCTAAAGAGAGTCAAGATTTTTATACTACACATAAAAGATACCCCTGTAATGAGGAAGTAGAGTATTATAAGGTACATAAAAAATACCCCTCTACCACAGAAGAGGAAGATGAGTGCTATAAAGTGTATCATAATGCTACCGTGAAAAAGTATTATAAGAAGTATCATAAATACCCCTCTCATGAAGATGAAGAGTATTATAAGAAGAATCATTGTTACCCTAAAACTTCAACGACTACTTCAACATCCTATGGAACTACTGTAGTACACAAGAAAAAGATTCATTATCATCATCACAAATACCCCGTAGAAAAATCTTCCGGAACACCCTCTGAAAAAGTGGTACATAAGAAAAAGAAGCATCATTACAAGCACCCCGTAGAAGAAGAAACTGAAACTACTACTACTACTACACCCTCTGAAAAAGTAGTACATAAGAAAAAGAAGCATCATTACAAGTACCCCGTTGTAGAAGATACTGAAACTACACCCTCTGAAAAAGTGGCACATAAGAAAAAGAAGCATCATCATCACAAGTACCCCGTTGTAGAAGATACTGAAACTACACCCTCTGAAAAAGTGGTACATAAGAAAAAGAAGCATCATCATCACAAGTACCCCGTTGTAGAAGATACTGAAACTACTACTACTACACCCTCTGAAAAAGTGGTACATAAGAAAAAGAAGCATCATCATCACAAGTACCCCGTTGTAGAAGATACTGAAACTACTACTACTACACCCTCTGAAAAAGTGGTACATAAGAAAAAGAAGCATCATCATCACAAGTACCCCGTTGTAGAAGATACTGAAACTACTACTACTACACCCTCTGAAAAAGTGGTACATAAGAAAAAGAAGCATCATCATCACAAGTACCCCGTTGTAGAAGATACTGAAACTACTACTACTACACCCTCTGAA